GAAACGCTTGGGAGACGCTTTTATCAAACGCACGTTGCACGATGTACGCACGCACTTAAACGCACGAACGAAAAACGCTTTTTAGACAACCGACACGTTCATCGTACTATAAGACCATTGTCTCAGTTTACTGTCCTGTCCTGATCTCGGTAATTGTTATAAACATATCTGTGTTTTGTTCATTGTCCTTAATATAACAACAACGGACGGGTGAAAATACTTATATTTCGTAGCACCTCTTTTGGGACTAAGTTATTAAGACAATAATTGATTACTAAATATTCAGACACCAGTTCGGCTTGTTAGCAATACTAAATGTAATAATACAGGAAGGGCGACAATACTTGTATTTCGTGGCATTACTCTTGAGGCTGAATACTATGAAAATAATTGATAAAACAATTACTAATACACTTGTTTGACGTTATAATCTAATATTTACATAAAGAGTATAACATTTTATGAGTGCAAATATTCCCTTCTGCGGATGAGTATTGAAATGTAAAGAACAACTGTATAATGTAAAATGACAGACAAGTCTATGTGCACGAGTATTATAATTATTTAAAAATATATAGTAATAAATGAAATGTAAAAGCTGCAAAAGGTTAATTACTGATGGTGTAATAACACAACATTCCAAACGTGTGTTTCTTAACACTTATTTTCATGACGCTGCCTTTAAATGTCTCTTTTCATGGCAGAGATTGATTTTGCATGCAAAACTGTAATAATACAACACAATCCTTTCAAATAAGGTATACCTATTAGTCGAAATAGACTGTTAGGGTAAGAAAAGATCCTGCAGACAAATGAAAATAGAATATTATCTGAAGTCCAATAACGTTAACACTACAACTGCGATTTTGTCATGAGAACTGTAACTGTTATGATCATAACTAAACCCGTTCACTGTTCAAATACTGTTTGTTAAGTAGCAATCATTTGCAATGTTTGACAAATTGTGTTAAATTGTTTTAATTTATTGTCACTAATTATATTGATACGTACGTTACTTTTAATGCGTTTGTTGTGTAACCACTTTTTATTGTCTAAAATGCAAAGATAATCGTCCAAAGGTGCAAGTACACTACTAGTATTTATATAAACTATATATTTGAATGTACTACATCATAAAATTTAATAGTATTTTATTGGAGCCTTTCCTTGCGTTATCAGCAACCATATAAGAAGCAAAACTACTATTCACAACAATTTATAATAAAAAACTTTGAATCATACGTGTATTATTTGATGTGAATATGTCATTCAAAAGTCCTCAAATAAATCTCTATAATTAGTACATTATTGAAAATCAGCAATATAAATATATGGTTATACATTTAAGTATCATTTCGATTTCAAAAACATTAATAGATCTCAAAAATATAACTCTTTTGATCAAGTTTATCGACCTGTCTTTGCTTGCCCTCAAAAGAAGGTTTATAGGATGATATAGAAGAGATGTGATAAAGATGATAAAAAACATTTATTGTATTAGGGATTAAAAAACGTTTATCTAACGTAATGAAGTGATCAATCTCTCAGTATAAAAACACATGCACCGTACTCAATGTAATTTTATGATATGGACACAATATTATTTTGAAGGATGGATGAAAATGTTTTTGTCGTTACTCTCGGGGCTTCATTTTACGAAAATAATTGGTTAAATATGCATTAAGGAACTATGGCGACGCTTTTATTTAATATCCACCCGCACAGATTTTGTTTATGAGTTAAAATAATCCCTGCTGTGGCTAGTTCGTTTTGATATTCAATTATTAAAAAATAAAAAAAACAACATCAAAAGAACCCAAAAGTAATCGGTGAAAATATATAGAGGATATTGAATGAGAGTTGATTTTTTTCAATACAGAATTTATTGAAAGAATTGAATAAAAATATATTATGCGAGCCTCTGACTGGGCTTAGTATCGTTCGAAAAATAATGTTATGAATCTACACTAATATAATATTATTCTGTTTATCACATATCAAAATTAAAGACTGTTTAAAGTGAAAAAGAATCATTTTTCATTGATGCATCTATATCATTAAGAGTGTCTTAAGGCTATGTTTGTATAACGCATATGACGTCACGTCAAAATATATGCACGGCCGTGCAATACCATTTATACGGATGTATACATAATATATATAGTCACGATGTCATAATATTGCATGCTTATTTTAAACTTAAAACACTATAATGACACACGCATAATTATCTCTTTACAGGTATTCACAGTGGTCTTATTATGTTTTGTTAAGTTTTACATACCCTTTACTTCTTCCTGGAGAATGATATGCAAAATTAATGAAAAGTAAGTAAAACTTATATTTTGTACTTGACAAAGTTGTACAGTAAAGGAACATTGCTGTTTTTATAAAGCTTTCGTTTCATTTTTTATCATTCATTTTTTTAATTCATTTTTTCAACATGCAATACTGTATTTACTCAACATTATCGTCTTAAATATGACATCTTTATTAATCGAAATAAAAAAGACTATTACATGATCTAAATATAGCTGCAATCTCATTGGAATAATAAACTATATTGAAAGTCACGTTCTCTAATACAGGACCAGTAAAGTTGGTCTTTTCTTTAAAAAATGTGCCATTTTTTTAACGACAGTATATATTCATATAGTGACGACCTATTTGTGTAGAGTTTTAAACATGACATATACACTTTGTGTGAAGTCAAAACATGTTTATTTCATATTTACAAAGAGACTGTGCAGCAATTATCAATATTTTCTGATATCAAATTTGAGCATTGTATATATTTAAATTACTTTATTAATGATAAACAGGTCCGTAAAATTATCAAACGGCATTTAAAAGAATAATAAGATGTTTATTAAATAAAAATGACAAAGAAATAATAAGAAATCCTTAACTGAAAATGACAATTCTTAATGAAATGTTCAACATTCATTTTACATTTTTTCATGCAAACTATGTAATTGTAATATGAACAGATTGTTAGCATAAAACACTACTAAGTCTGAAGGGACCGCATTTGTTTTACATGCCCGACCTTTAAGAGACAAAATCATTTAATCATATCTTAATATAATGTTTCAGACAAATGTGTAAATGCAGGCTATGTTATGTTTGAATTTAATCCACAGGATTCCTGTATATGGCTGCTATCAGATATCTCACAAAGGTTGTGACCTTTGACTTCTATTTCTTGGTATTTTCTTGTTACAAATTTCTCGAGACCGAGTTAAGCTATTTCTGTCATGTTTTTACTTTCAATTTCTTAAAGCAAAGTTCATGCTTAAGCCATGCACCTTTATTTTTGTATTACTTTTTGTGTGTTACTCTAGATTTACAGCTATTTTTAACATCTGTAATATAACATAAATTTCTCGAGGCCAAGTTCAGCTATTTCTGCCATGTTTTATTATTATTTATCAATGTCTTGAAGCAAAGTTCATGCTTAGGTCATGCTCTTTTATTTTTGTATTGGAATACTCTTTATATATTTCAATCTGTATAACATTGGACGATTTTTAACATTTTAAAATGAAAGAATTAATATGTGATGTTTAAAAAAAAGTTCTTTGTTCATTCTTTTTAACATAAAAACGTTCGTTTGACAAGATTTTCGTTTAAAAAGGTAATTGATTAGAAAGGATTTTTTATAATTTATATAAGAGTCAATTTGACTGATTGGGTCTTTTGATTTGTGTATTTTTCTTACTGTACCTGTACCTTTTACCTTTATTGTTCTATTTATGGTTAAGGTGTATGAAAAATACTTTTAGGAATAGTGAGCAAAATTGAGTAAGAAAATAAACAAAATTGATGTAAACAATGAATTCAAATAACCTTTTCCAATTAAAATGCTTGAAACAATATTGCTATGATTATGAAACGATAATTAAGTATAAATTAAGATGTCCATGAACAGTATTTATTTCAAGTAACATAATGAATTGCTTTATATTTTTTCGTCTTATTGCCTCCTATCAATATATTCAATTTGCTTGAAGTCCAATCCGTAAAAGAGCTTTCGTTTTGACAAATTGCTTTGACAATTCATTGTTTCATTAGAGGTACTTGAACGCTCACAGGCAGTATGATTGTTTATTCTGAGAATGATAGACTACCGAGTAATATTTCTACTTCAATAATCAGCACAAATAGCACAATAATTAGCACAAATAGCACCTTTTGATTAGTTTTATCATGAAAACGTGTTTGGCAATGATGAACATGACCCGAAAAGTACAAATAGAACGACTTCTTGTCAAGAAACTAATATAAGATAATTGCTTACTCTGAAAATCATAAATTCTGACTAGAGCATGCTTAAATCTGTGTTTGAATGAAACGTTATCATAATGTTTTAATTTTACCGACATGGTAAACTTGTCGGATACTAAGCAAGGTCGAAACCAGAATCTTATGCATATTTAAATAAATTTGATACATCACAAGTTTAGAGAGAGATTTTAAGACCCCCTTACCCCCTCCCCCAGAGGCAAGGGCAGGCATTTTAGGCATTGGCGCGCACATAAGTAAAACACCGACATTCCATAAGTTAGCTCGATGGCGTTCTCGTATGAAAGAATACAAGTCCCTGCCAGGATTCAAGCCAACAACGGTTTGATCAACTCATCTACCCGTTTGTCAGTTCTATTTGCAAATAAACTGCTGCAATAGCATTAAAGCTGATATTTTTATAGCAAAATATGTAACAGTGGTGGTTAACCTTGTGAGATGGGACGACAGTTAAAGACTTAGTCTCTTGTTAAATGAACGAGAATAAACTGCTAAATTATGATGATACATTCGTGTGTCAAATTATTAAGAGAAAATCAAACATCTATGTGAATTAAATATACCATTTAAATTTAATATGAAAGTGGCAGCGGTAAGTGAAAAAGCAAAAACTGCTCCAATAATCTATAATATAACATCCTTATGTCAAAGTATCTAGAAAACTTAAACATTTATGTAAGTTTATTATACAATTATAAATTTACTATAGGTATAAGCAATTATATACGAGCGAATCATTTGTATCACTAATTAAGTAAAATCTCTAAATATGCTTGGGATAAATCTTTCAGAATATGCCGGCGTTGAAATCCAATTTGTGGCTATCCATTTAGTTCCTTTAATAACCTCACAACCTCCATGATAGCTTCGCTTATCTACAGACGAGATGTATCCTCTACTGTCCAAAGGATGGTTGTACCACAATAGTGCCTTCCCTTTTTCTGGTTTAATTACAAGTGACGCAGAATGACAGTGTGAGGTAAGATTCTCCCAGTCAGTTTCCCCTTTCTTTACCATTTCCCCGTATGAGAGATCGGCGAATGGAAATGCCGTTTCGCCACCCTCTTCAACGTCATTAAGGTAATACAAAACAGTCGCAAATCTGCATAATCTACAACACTCTATAAAAGTTGTCTTAGTTCCATTGGAATCAAAACACAATTTCTGAAAACAGCAGGGAGTATCACTACTAGCTTCATTCGAGTCTTGATGCGCATGATAATGTCCCCCGGGTTTGTACATTCCAATTGACAGGTTTTCACTCCATTGCACAATTTTCTTGGGTATCCTGAGCAACTTTGCCAATCTGTCATGTAATCTACTAAAAAACTCTTCTTCGACATCGTCTTTCCTTAGGTAAGATGAGAAACTTTCTCGAAATGTTCCATAATGGCTCCCGGTTTCTGTGTCATTCTTGGTTCCAAATATAGAACTCTTATTTAGCCCTTTCTCTCTGGACCTTTCAATTATATAATCACAATCTTCATCTGATAAAAAGTTTGGTATTTCAAATATAGGTGGACGGTTTGCTTTTGTGATGAGTTCTGCTTTTACGCCGTCGTTTATGTCTATATACTGAACATCACCAACGTGTCCAGGATCTATTCTGTAAACTGGTGGATATTCATATTCGCCTTTGTCTTTCTTTAAGTCTGCTTCTTCTTCTTCAGAAAGTTTAGTTTCCTTAAATGCATCATTTATTTTTGCCAGAGATAGTTCATCACCCGCAAAAAATTCCTTTGCCATTTCTCTAGCGGCAACCATCATATCATCTAGGTTTTCAGTCTTCAATCTATTCTCCTCCGACTTCTTGCGTTGAGTCGGTTCTGGTAAATTTGATTGCACAATTTGTTCCTTCAAATAGTCGAACGCGTCTAATATTGTATAATAAATACTTGAAAACCAAGATTGGTGATGAATGTCCTCCATTTCAATGTAAGTAAGTTCTTGTTCCCGATATGCATCAGAATTATGATCACGTGAAAAGCATGCGTCTGTTTCGTCAGAATCATAGATATCGCATTCCTCGTGATCTTTAGATTGACACGTGCTCAAAAGACATGTCAATGGTAATAAAATAAGTAAGAGTCTTGCGTATCCAAACATCTGAAAGGAATTTTAATAACAATAACTGAATGTGTTTGCGACAAAAATATCAATAATATACCTTGATCGTAGATGTATTCTAATTATTAGATATAAAGATTTTATGATTTATGACCCTATATAAACGGTTGTTTGTATATATCACCCGAGTCACTAAATCGGTAAAATGTGTTATAAAAATGTCACAAAAATAAATCTAAGTTTTACAATAATTCTTGGTATATATTCTAAATTGCAGCGTTATATACATTTTTAGATATCTAAACTTTATTACGAGATTATTTGTAATCATAGACTCAAAACTAATGAAAACATTACAAATTACCTTTAACTTTATTAGTCCATTAATTGTGCACATTCGACATTTTGAGTAAAATTTTAAAGAAGGAAATAAGTTAAATTTATTTAAATGACCACTGCTTGTCCTTCAAATATCGCTGAGGGGCATTAAATAAACTTTAGAAACCTTGTTAATGTTACACTATTAAATTTGACAGCTATGAATACATCTCGATTAATGTATCACATATAATAATAATTATGATAATAATACTAATATTACTGATGATGATGATGATGATGATGATGCTAATAATAATAATAGTAATAATAATAATAATCATGACAATAATAATAATAATAATAATGAATAATAATAAAAATAGAAATAATTATAATAATAATGATGATGATGATGATGATGATGATAAAAATGATGATGATAATAATAATGATAATAATAATAGTAATAATAATAATAAAAATAATATCGATGATGATGCAATTATGATAATGATGACGAAAACCACAACAACATAAAACGGTACTGATGGAATAAAAAAGTAATAATACTATTATACTCGTACAAATAGAAGTCAAATGCACCTTTTCCAATTTATTAACATCAGCAGAAGCCAATGACGCATTTTAAGCCTGACCACACAGGACGAGGGATATAATAAGTCTTTGTGCACGTTACATATACGTCTAAAATCGGTAATCACGTGTTTTTATTATCTATATTTAATATAAAGAAATCATTGCTTGTGTCATGCGTTCCACGTGTTAATGTGATGACATTTGATAGTTATGTTTTACTTGCCGGGGCCATCATTGCATTGGGCTATTTTTACATTGCGCCAAGGGTCACGAAAAAAATACAAAGTGAAACAACGACGCGTGGTTACGAGAAACCATCCGTTCATGCATGTTGCTCCTTCGTTAATGTATACATGCGTGCAAGAATATCAATTCTGGAAATCTAATCTTTGCGTAATATATGCTTGATAAGAAAACTTCAAATCACATGGAAAAAAAAACAATAATAAGTCCGAATTGTTTATAAACGTAAATGAATTTTCAAATATGATTTTAAAGATTTCTCAAAAACTATTTAACAGACAACAAGTCTTACACTAAATATGAGTAGCATTTTCCAAGGCATTTTCTCTTGGCATGTGCTATCTGCTGCTGGTTTACAATCACTGGAGCTCTCTATACTGCAATAAGTGTTTCTTACCCTTTCATCTAGCAATAACATCCTTCAGGGCATGTAGTACAGTCCTTTGACGAAGGCATTAAAATAGAAAGTATTTTGCCATTTTAAACTTCTTATTTGTACATCGTACATTAATACATTTTGTTTTTTATCAGATTATCGAGTACAATTTATTTCCAGAGAATTGCTCGTTTTTCTTGGGCTGGGAAACAATTATTACATAACAATTAGTAGCCTACTGTTTAGTGAAAATGTTAACTGTGAAATGAATGAGAGATGCTAAGAATGCAATTACAGCAATGGCAAGATAATTTGTCATTAGTTACAAAAAACATAAAAGCGCTGTGAATCATCCAAAAGGCTCAATAATACATTTCTAGTAAGAGAAAAACAAAATGAAAGTTCATTATGTTATTAAGTATTCCAGTTGTTTAAGACTTCTACCATGCCTCTTTTGGTATTTGTATATATGTTATCTTAAGTCATTTTTAGGGACATCGTTCACATTTTAAGGCAATAATACAACTTTATGCCACAGTATTTGCGTCAAATTCACGTGTGCGTAAACGAGGAATCTTTGCCAATACTTTGTTAATTAAATGGGAAGCAATCTTCTTCCAGGCACTGAAAACGAATAAACAACTTGTTATAACAAACAGTCTGCCTATTTTCAAATCATTTCTAAAAACTACAATTGTTCCATATATATTGTTCTTGATAAAAGTATTATACAATTCAGTCTGACAAAAGCTTCAGCACTTACGTAAATATACACAAAAATGTACATTAAAGGCTCTATTATTCCCCATATTTAATGATTATATTTTCATATCTCAGAAGTTATTCAATATTGGTGTCCTGTTTTATTTTACAAATAATTACGCATTGGCCAGTTACATGACCCATGTTTTGCTTCTTTTTTTTTTTCTTTTTTTTTTTGTTTTTTTTTTTGCTTTGTTTGTTTGTTTTTTTTTGTTTTTTGGCAGTTATAATGTTATAGTGATTGAATATTTTATATGGAAGTCAAAATACTACTTTATTTACATTTTCCTACATTAATGACAAATAAGTCCACATTCAGCACTACATTCTTCAGGCATTAAACTTCTAAGATGCTAAAAACAATAATTTAAACATTATAACACTATGTTTGTCCTTTTCACAGATGCCTTAACGTATTCCCTTCAGGGGCATAATGTAACTTTAAATATAACTTTTTTTAAAAGATTTGCTTGTTAAGAAACTTATTACGCACGGTAGCATCAACATTTACCTTGCAGTAATGTAGTCATACTGTAAATAAATGCTTTCCCGCCAAAATATTCTTAAATCGGCCAATATAGTAAAACATTGGTCATTACCGGGACGTTATTTTTCACTACATTCGGCATTCAATCATTTTTAACCGTTTATAACCGAAGTTTAGTACATAGCGATAAAGGATGAGTGATTGTTAATTATTTAATGCCCAAGATTTTGAAAAAAAAATGACGTTCCGGAAATAACCGACTTGCTACGATATTAGCCGATGTTAGAATTTCTTTGGCGAGAAAGCATTACAGTAAGACTACCTTAATTTAGTCGGCTATCATCGTCTTTTCAATTATTGGAACATTTAGTTTTAGAAATTTGAATTGTAAGCACATTTTGAAACTTTTATGAGTCATAATCAGTTAATATTATCATTTTGATTGCATCTGTGAAAAGTCACATTTTACGACATGGAAAATCCATGGTAGAGGAAAACAAATAAAAAGTGAATTATTTGAAAAAGTAGTTCAGTTATTTTATATTTCTTTCTTTTTTCTCTCTGTAATTTGTATAAAAGATTTAAAGTCTATGTTATGGGGACATTATTCACTTTTGATATAAAATGAGCAATTATACAATGTTATGACACAGTATTTGTATATTCACGTGTGCTAACATGCGGCGAAACGTTTAGCAGTAATGAGAAGCAATTATCTGAGAGCTCAAATCATTTAATTCTTTTCACAGACAGACTTCCTCATTTCAAATTATTTTCAAACATTTCACAATATTTCACAGGTTCATTAAAAGTGCTCTAGATGAAGCTTAATTTTAATATCACGGCAAAATATATTAGATATAAGGGAGTATAAGGGAAATAAGGGTAAACATATAGGAAATTTAAGATACATAGATGAACGGGTACAGTACAGTATGATTTATAACTAACAAACGAGTTACTATTTTAATAATGGTTGACCAATTTTTGATAAACACATATGTTTAGAATAAAATATAAAAACTACCTAAAATATTAAAATATTGCCCAACTCTTTTTATAAATTGAATATTATCGGTAATTGCGATAGGATATTCCTAAATATATGTTTGGCTCACATGGACTATCAATTTCTCAGGCGATGTTTTTGAAAACAATTGAAAACAAATGTGACAAAATTATTTTAACTTTGCCTGAACAGTCACCATGATATAATGCCACTTTAATAACGATAGAATCACGCAAACATGCGCTGTTGTAATGTGGTGCCCACGTGCCCAGCAACCCTTAGATTTCTAGTCCGATACCTTTATCTCTCGACAACTCCCGATAATGCACTTGAAATAACCGCCTCCGTGGTCAAGGTGTTAGAGTCGGTGACTTCTAATCCAGTTACCTCTCTGGCGTGGGTTCGATCCCCGAGAGATGCTTTGGTAGTTAAGCGGGGAGGAAGGTAGTCTAGTACTGGTGTAACTCTCCAGGAACGATGGTTAGGAAACTACCCGCCTAAATGACTGAAATACTGTGGGGAAAATGCGTCAAATAAAAACAAACAAAATAATGCATTTTAAATTCAGAAGAATTAATTATTGACCATGTTAACCAAACTTAACAAAAACAATATTAAAAGTTATAAATTCATATCCAGTTTAATAAGGAAACTTAAATTACTTTGACGCAAAAAGTACAAACTAGCTTTATGGAATTTGAGAGTAAAAATGCTCAGTGTTAGTGGTGCATTACAAATATTATTAAAATGTGAATACCACTGAAAATGTAGGGCAAGCTGCAATAAGTGAAGATTTTAAGGAATCAACATAGACAATTACTGTTTCCCATTGTAATTTATATTCCATTACGATGCAATTTCCATTCAATTGTTCTCCTCGATCATTTATTTTGAGGATTTACACTAACTGATACCTAAAGTATCCTTTTGTTTTGTTGTTTTTTGTTCTTGTTTTTTGTTGTTGCTGTTTAGTTGTTGTTGTGGGTTTTTTTTCATCCCTTACAATACAAATTCAATGTCGGTTTGACTAAAAATCAAACAAAACAATACAAATAAAGCCATTTTTACAGAGTAAATTTTTAAACTATAAGGGCGTGTTTGTGTCACGGCTGCCATGTGTACTATATAAAACGATGTTGACTTACAAGTATATGATACATTAATACACTGAACTATACTAGTTCAGTGGCTATAGACATAATATTTAGAGTTTATGCTGAAAAAAGTTATATAATTTAGTGAAA